GGAGGGCATATATTGGAGAAACCTCTAGCACCCACCTTAACAAGCTTATTCTTTTGTGCCCATGTAGGTACAACTATCTATCCATCCAAGCTTAACACCCTGTTTGGATTGGAGGTGTCGGACGGAGAGGGAGGGGAAGGGATGGGGACGGATGGCAAGGGAGGGGGAGTGAGGGGGGGCTATCTCCTTCCTCCTGTTTGGGTTTCCAAAGAGGCAGAGGGGGAGGGAGATGGACTGATTCGGACTCCCTCCAACCACCCTTAAATCTGCAAATTTGCAATCCGCCCGATTTGGGGGGTTTGGGAGGGATTTGAGTGGTTATTTAGACTAGGTTAAATGTAATTACAAAATTAACCTTAATTTTTTTTATTATATCCTTCTCCTTCCTGCGGCAACAGCACCTAAACTCTCCTTCTCCTTCTTGCCGGCAATAGCACCAAAACCAGAGGATTCAACAGAGGCCATAAACCAGTAAGTATACTCCTTGTTCTTTATCATATTTTTGTTTCTCTATTTTTTGAGATCCATCGTAACTTTGTCATTCTCCAAGGATATTTTCTTACAATGATCATGAGAAACCTGGCGCATTCTTTTTTTCTCTGACCAAAAAAAAAGTTAGATGCAGGAAGCTGCTAGGCTCATATAAAGTATAATTTAATTCATCAAAATAGAGAAAGTAAGAAAATTTTAGTATACCTTCATTATAAAATATGATGATCTTCTCATTTTCATCAATCACCTTATTAACAGCCACACTTGTCTCAATATACTTGCTCTTAATTTCCTTAAGGTGCATATTTTTGGTCTTCAAGGTATTGGTTAAACTTGACACCAGAACTGCAGCTTTCTGTGCATCTTCAGCCTCTTTTCCAGAGACGGTTTTTAGATCTCATGTTTACAAAGATAATCATCGATCAAATTTCTAGAATAGTAATCATCATCACGTGCAATCCAACCATACAACTTTTCTCCTTGATGTCTTGATGAATAATAATCCCTCTTGCCACAATGGTTACTTTCAAAACTTTTCTCGAACACAATAGCATTCTTAAGACCATCCCATTCTTTATTAAATTCCACTATTGCAAACCCTGAATGCCCTTTTCTATTCCAGAGAGGGTGAACCTTCAAGGGATTAAACCCTTGCCTTGTGAACTCCTCCTTCAGTTTTTTTCCACTTTCCCCTACAGCCCTTCCATCTTCGACTCGGGTTGGAATATATGTTGGCGACAATACCCATCCATGGATGGACAAAGAGCGGATTGTCATCATGATAGTGAGCATGCTGGTACTCACTTCTAATGGGAGGTTTTGAACTTCTTTCTCTGGCTGGAATGGGAAGATCTGAATCCAAACTTCTTTTTCTGGATGGAATGGGAGAATCTGAGCTTCTTCTGGCTGGACCTGCAGAATCTCTACTTCTTTTTCTGGGTGGAGTGGGAGGTTCTGAACTTCTTCTCTTTTCAAGTTTTCTAGTTGCAATGTTAAGTTCTGAACTTCTGTTCTTTTCCAGAAGGGAAGGTTCTGAACCTCTTTTCCTGACTGGAATGGGAGGTTTTGGACTGCAATCTTAATTTGATAAATCTAATATGGTTAACTAGTTTGGTTTGTATGTAAAAGATGTGCATAACTTTGTTCTTTTCCTTCTATTGCATTTCAAAGAACGTTTTGTTGTTTCACCTTCTGCAGTCAGAACATTTTTTTTTTTAAATTTTCTCTAACTTGTGCCATTAAATTATAGGAGCAGAATTTTAAATTCTAAAATAATAATTTTTATTATTTTGGTTATATTCTACCATGTTGTTTGTATTCTTGTAGATGACCTTTCGGAGCTTGGTTATATTTTACCATGTTGCTGTGTTTTAAGTGAGTTATTGTTCTCTTGCTTGGTCACAGTTAGATTTACAAGGACAAAGCTGAGATAGGGGTTTGATTTGCTGGCCTTCAAGTACTGATTAAGGTAATTCTTATTTAAAAATTGCTAGTTATAAGGATTCATTTTTTTAATTTTTATGCTTATGAACCTCAATTATATAATTGAATTTGATCCTTATCATGACGTAGAATTTTATATTTATATTTGTACAATGAGAGTTTGATTATTCTTTTACTTTTTAGTTATACAACTGAATGTAAAATATATCATAACATCGAATTTTAATTTGTATTTTATAAATATAGATGGATGCCATGAGAGACATGCGTAGAAAGGCCATTGCTCATGTAATATGCTTAGTTGTTTATTGGTGGTTTCTTCGAAGTCGACCAAAAAGAAAGCTTCTTGATGATAATATAATTAATGAGAGAGAACAAGTTCGAGATGAAATAATGAACAAAATTGTGGGGAGTGATAGAAGCCGTTATATCATAGGGATGAGTCCTAGAGCTTTTTTACAATTCTGTAACATACTTGAAAAGGAGGGAGGTCTCCAACTCACAAGGAAAGCAACTATTGAGGAACAAGTAGCTAAAACTCTTTATATTCTAGCTAAGAATGC